CGCTTTTATGTTAATATTTTGCTCGCTATATTTATATATTTTATAAATTCATTATAAAAAACAACAGTAGCCATTACTATATATGTACGCAAGCAGTTCAAATTTTTCGGGGAGAATTCAAAATAGTTTGAGACCACACCTTGCTTAACATCCGATTCCAAGACGAGCCAAGCCAAGCTGAGCCAATATGCATAGATTTATAAGCGCTTTTATATTAAAATTTTACTCGCTTTTTAAACGAATATCCCAATATAACAAATTCTCCATCCTATTTTAACTTTCTTTGATGCTTTTTAATCAGTCAGGTTACAAAAATCATTATCGATATCACAATGAAATCAATTTGAAATTTTTTTTTAATTATTTATAAAATTTTTAAATTGTTGATAAAAATAACTAGTATATATAGTGTAGTAAAACGTTTAAAATTTTCTGAGAGAATTCACAATAATTTGAGACTACATCATAACACAATTGTACAATTTGAATGTGTAAATACAACATTATAAATGTATTATAACTACGTGTATATATATATATTTCTTTATTTAGTTCTGCCTGTGTATGATATTTTGTCAAATTTATTTGATAGGAATTGAATAAAACCTTCAAACCGGCTGATTAACTACCATGCAGTAAAATAACTACTGTTGACACCATTTGCTCCAACGATTTCGCAACGAATTGCCCATACCATATAATTAGAATAAACTCTTTCAATCAATGTTTAAATTTTTATATTGTCATTTATTCTTTCGTTTTTGTTTCTGTACTAATTTTCGCGTCAGATACAATAATTTAGTTTTTAAGTAAATTTTCATTTTCGTAGCTATACACAAACATGCCTACCTGTTGCATTTAAAAATTGCATTAATAATAAATAGAAATGAGAAAATTTCTGATGCATCTTTTCACAGGTTTATTTTCAAATTAACTTCACACTAAAATAAATGAAACAATATCCCTATACTCATTCTCATTGAATAGAACTATTTTGTTTTACAATTACATATATTTTATAGACTATTATAATTTATAATGCTATAATGGATTACCATTTTATTATTAAAAGCAATACTTAAGATTTTAAGAAATGCACAAGTTTCTGTAACAGTTTATAAAATTTCAGATTTCCTCAAAATGTAAAAATGAAAAACGATTGGATTAAGTGCATTAGACAGGAAATCAATGATTTCAAATGGCTTCCATCAAAAAATGCAAGAATATGCAGTGACCATTTCTGTAATAAAGATTATAAGGGTTATGATGGAGAAAGGAAGGTAATGCTGAAGAAAGCATTCCCATGTTTTCAAGTTAGTTATATTTATATGTCATCAGTTACACAAGGAAGCAATTCACATCATCATTGTACATTGCAACATTCTTATCTATACAAAAAATATAAAATGCATTCAACAATATTCCATGTATTTTATTAAAACTTAGAAAGGGCATAATGACATTGTGAATAATAAACCCTGCTTAGGACTGGGATCATCATCATCATACCAATCAACATTACAAATAGAGTCAATTTTATATTAATGCTTAACAAGTTAACTAAATTGGCATAATCAAGTTTTTATATGAAATACACATCAAGTATTTAATGTAACAAATAAATTAACAGAAAAACTTCTGGAAAAGTTTAAAAAAATTAGAACATATGACTCTGATCAAAAATCATTCGCGTTGACACAAGGGCATAAGGCATATGATTATCTTTGGACAAATGGCTTACATCTTCCTCACACTAGGACTTTAAGAAAGTAATCTTGTCATACCTGTTTAATAATTTTAATAAGATTGTTTTAAATAACTATTCTCAATGTCATTTTATTAACACTATATTAAAA